GACTAGAGGCGCGGGTTGAAGAGACTTAAAAAATGCAGACTTGACAAAGACCTTGCTCCTTATTGTAAACTTAACTACCTCCACGTTTCTATCAAGATATTATTTAAAAGAAAGAAAACGAAAAAAAAAAAGAAAGAAAGAAAACGTCGTTAACCTCAGCCAGCGCAGCAAATGATGCGGAGCTGCGTCAATACACTAAGAGGAAGGAACAGCTAGTGGAGACTTCTACGGCAAAACTGGTCGACTATTTTTAAAGAAGAAAAAGAGGATAGGGGACTTCCCTGGCGATTCAGTGGTTAAGACTTTGCACTTCCAATGCAGTGGGTAGGGGTTCCATCCCTGTTCAGGGAACTAGGATCCCACATGCCACGCAGCACATGCAAAAAAAAAAAGAAAAAAAGAGAGAAAGAGAAAGAGAAAGAGAGAGAAAAAGAGAGAGAGAATGGTACGTAGAAGGAAAAGCAGGGCAGAAAAAAGGTTGTTGTTGTTGTTGTTGTTTTTGCGGTACGCGGGCCTCTCACTGCTGTGGCCTCTCCCGCTGCGGAGCACAGGCTCCGGACGCGCAGGCTCAGCGGCCATGGCTCAGGGTCCCAGCCGCTCCGCGGCATGTGGGATCCTCCAGGACCAGGGCACGAACCCGTGTCCCCTGCATCGGCAGGCGGACTCTCAACCACTGCGCCACCAGGGAAGCCCCAGAAAAAACGGTTTCGATTGTCCAAAATGTGGAGAGACATTCGCAGGTAGAAGTATCCGCCCTCCCACCCCGCCCAGGAGGGGGAGCTCCCACAGGATCAGGCATTGCAAGGGCGGGAGGGAGCAGGTGACAGCGACAGGACGTGGGGGCTGCCGTGCACGAGGAGGGGGCCTTACCTTTGTGCTCCCGGAAGCAGGTCAATGAGCAGCTGTAAAAACAAAGCCACAGGCCGCGTTAGCCCCGAAGGCCGCGCGGACCCTCTCGCCACCCCGCCACCCGTCCGCAGCCCACAACCCCCGGCACTCACTAGGGCACGCGGCAGGCGGGGCAGCGGTATTTGGGTTTCTCCAAACAGATAACGCAGACAGCGGTGCTGCAATTGAGCGACGCCATGGTCTCTCCCAGGAGGTGCTCCCTCCCCGGCGCCCAGGCCTCTCGCCGCAGGCCCCACGTGCACACCTTTTCTTCCGTTTCCTTAACCAGGACCAATCAGCGCGCAGCACTGATTGGCAGTCAAAAGCAATGGATTGATCCAGCTCATTGTTTCAGGCCTGAGAAGTAGAAAGTCGATGCACTCGAAGCGCAACCAGTACCCCCACCGAGGTTCTCTCTGATTAGGTCACGGCGTCGAAGAACTTGTTATGTAACCCTGTCCCTGTCCCTACGCGGCCCTGTGGCTTGCAGCAAGTCATTGTCACTCTCCAGCTCTGTTGCCCTGTATGTAAAAAGAATACGTGGGATTAAATGTCCTTTACCTTCTGGCTGGGACTTTCTCAGTCTTGCACCGGCATTGGGTTCTCCCCGCACATCTCATTTGCTTCTCCCGTTGCGGAGCACAGGCTCCGGACGCGCAGGCTCAGCGGCCATGACTCACGGACCCAGCCGCTCCGCGGTATGTGGGATCTTCCCGGACCGGGGCACGAACCCGTGTCCCCTGCATTGGCAGGCGGACTCTCAACCACTGCGCCACCAGGGAAGACCCTCATTTGCTTTTTCTTAGCAAATGAGAAGTCCACACACTGGCCGTTAAATCACATGTGCCCTTCCCAGCCATCTTTCGCACAGGAAAGGAAGATGAGGCTTGGCCGCTGATAGATGTTGATTGAGCTCCAACTGTGAGCCCCGCACTGCCCAGATGCTGGGCTGGGGACACCCAGGGATTAGCAGGCACGGTCTCTGGGACCTTAAGGCTTAGAGTGAAGGCAGGAGGGAGAATCCCTGGGTGGGATTGATTAGCCAGGGAACAGATGAGTTACCTCTGGCCCAAAGGTGGGGATCCTGGTCCAGAGAGGTGAACTGTGATGGGCCTTGAATGCCACCTCAGGCTTTAGAAATAGACAAAGTCACATTTTATTGGGAGCCCTGCTCCTCCTCAAAGCCCTGAGCATTGTCCAGCCTAACCAGGGTTCCCAGCCCACACATGTGGGGTGCCCTCTTAGGGCCATAAGCCACCCTCACCCCAAGAACCTCCCCTTTGTGTTGGTCCATCAGCCCTCAGGATCTCGCTATTATAAAAGCCCCGAACCACTGTCACAGTCTGTGGGGATGAATCTGCTACAACCAAAGCAGTCATTCAAGTCTTAGCTCCAACCCCTCTCTGGCTGTGTGACTTGGACAATTGTCTACCCTACATCTATTAGAGTGGATGTTCAGGCCTACTTTCCTGAGCTATTTAAATCAGAGAGGAGACTGTAAAAAGGTTTGTGATTTGAAGTGCTACAAAAGGTTATTTATGGGATATCTAGGAAGAGTCTGCAACTCTCCTGGAGCCCTGGTCCCTACCCCATGAGTGTGGGCTCCAGGCCCCAAGTACCTGGAGCCCAGGTTGCTGGACCTCAGGCCCCTCTAAAAGGGTTTCACCGTCAGCCACAGTAAGCCATGCTGGGGTTGGGCCTGAGTGACTATCCATCACTCCTTTGGCTTTGCCAGACTGTCCTGAGGGCGCTGTCCAGTCCTCAGTGCTGAAGTGGCACCGGCCCCTCCTGTTGCCTACCTGCCCCAGCATGCAGCTGCCCCTTCCTCCAGCCTCCAAACAGAACTCAGGCCAAAATCCAACGTTTCCACACTGACCTAATAATCTGCAGCATTCCTTGTATTCCTCAACAGTTGTGACCACTGCTGGTTTGACCCAGAAGTATTCCAGAGAGCCCATGCTTAACAGGGAAGGCCAGAGGTCAGTGACTTGTCCAGGTCACATTTGAACCCCATGCCCTGTCTGGCACCAGCACAAATTCTCCTGCTAGGTACATCACCACTGCCCACCCAGACTTTTCCTGTGAGTTGTGTTTGGAGGCTGAGGCCATGGAGAGTCTCCACAATCTTCAGGGGCTCAACCTGACCCCACCCACACCCCTACCATGCTGACTCTCCTACCTTTGGGTCCAGAGATGGTGACTCCAGCAAAAAGAAAATTCCTGGAATTCATCTCATGCACATTGAATTCAGTAAAAATACCTCTTCCTCTACTCTGGGTGACCTCCAGCTTCCCTGGAAAGACGTACCCCCTCCTGCTCCAATATCCAGGAAAGAAGGTGGCTCATCTCTGATGGTGATGAGCTTGGGGAACACCAAGAAGTGAAGGACGCCGGGTACAGCTCCTCTGGGCAATGGCTAGTTCAGAGAAGAAAGGCGGGTATGACTCTGGGCCCCAGCAACTAGATGTCCACACTGATGTGGCCTGGCTCTCCCTGGTCTCCCATCACGCCCTCCTAAGCGGCTGTCTAAGGCTGCCTCACGCCTTCTCAGCGTCAGCCGAGGAGCAGGGCCAGACCTGGAGAGAGGCGAGGTAATAATCGAGGCAGAACGGTTTCCAGAGCTCCGCTGCTTGGCAGACGCTGTTCAGCAAATTCCAGGCGGGCCGAGCCCGGCGCCAACGCCAAAGACTGGAGACGCGCGTGGAGTCTCAGGCCCGGCACTCAGCACCGCCAGAGGGCGCTCCAGATCGAGATTGGCCCTGGCGTAGCCTGAGCTGGACTGGAGCACCGCTCACACCGACCTTGCGTGGGAGGCCATACTGTCTCGCCATTCAGGGAAGAGTAAATACAGGCCTGCCCGGCGCCTCGATCATCGCCAAGTGGCGGGAGAGAGGGCCGAGAGTGCGGGGCTGAAGCAGGCGACCAGATGGGCAGCGGTGTCTCTTCCATGAAAGTAAGGCCCACGCAAGGCCAGCCGAAGGCTCCAAATGCGCCTGGCTGTCCAGGGGCAGTTCCCGCGGTGCCCGTCGCCCCGCGGTTCTCGGCAACCCCTGGGGTGGATATCCAGCTGGAAGGTGGCCACCCCACATTGGCCTGGTGAAAGCTTAATAGTACTTCGGGAGTTTTCAGGTTACTAACTAGGGTGCACCACTGCCCTGCACCTTCCCTGATGCCATGATGGGGCGGGCACACGGGCTGCATGTTGCCCTTATCTGAGGCCAGATGTTGATAAGGCTGGGCTCTCGGTGTAGCTAAATCTCAGCTTCCTTCTGCAGCCCCAACATCTCAATCCCTCTGCCCTCTTGGCGGCAGCAAGAGAAGAGTCTAGGATGGTATCTTTAGAGGGCCTATACTGCCCGGTTCTCACCTCCTCCTCTCCACTTACTCTCTGGTATCTAAGAGAGTAGTTCAGATGTTAAAGGGGGTGAGGTTGCTGGCGCGAATCAAATAAAGGAGGCCTGAGATTCTGCTGGAGTGGTTTCCAAGTCATCCATTTCCAACTCTCTGCATGTTATTTTATCTTGAAAATAACATTCATTCCCCAACTCTAGACAATGACAGTCTGACCTTCAGTTAGACTCCAAGGACAACTTCCAAACAACAAAAGAAAAATAATAGCATTATCTACAGCAGAACGGATGGGAGAGCACAGACCTTAAAGGTCACCATTGTTTCATGAATACACCCTACTGCCCACAACCCCACACTTTTCTCCCACCCTCTCCCATTTGCAAATCAATATATATCCCCCACCGTACATTTCCTAGGACATAGATCAAAGGAATCAGGACTTCCCAGACAGACTCTCCACGAAACCTCTAAAGGTCCCATATGGAGTGGGAGTGGGGCTTGCACAAACCTCCTAACTCACCTCTATCTCCCACATAGCAGATGTCAGGGAGGGAGAATTTCCCCCTCTATGCTTCTTGAGTTCTTGTGGTTGCCGCTAATAATAAATAGTGCACTAATAGTAATTAGTGCACTACTAATAAAATTGACACAAGAGAAAAAGAAACAAAATATAACTCATACGCATGGAGGTCCCATAGAAATGAAACCTAAGAATAGGCCAAAGCAGGCAGCTTTTATACTTTCTAGACAAAGAAACAATAAATTTGTGAGGAACTGACAAGACAAAGAAACAGATTTTGGGTGCCCAACTAGTGAAGAATTAGAACAGAGTTTGGGCTTGGGATAGTAAATTGAAGTAACAAGGATTGTTTATAATAGGCTTCTCAGCCCGAATTCCCTATCTTTGGCAATAAGGGGGTCCTTCTACCTCCAGATGCAGGGAGTGCATCTTTCATATGAAAGGTTTTTTTCCCTGCTTTCAAGGAGACAGCAAGGAGGGTCAGAGCATCCCTCTTGCATTGGCCATTTCTTAAGCAACTTTAATTCAAAATAATCAATACACCACTGAGGCACCTTTTGCGGTGGGCTACTCTGGGTCCCAACACAGAAATGCATAGGAACTCTGCTCAGTGGGGAGCAGGGAAAAGGAAGGAAGACCCCATTTCCTTCCCCATCTTTTAAAACTAAATACAAAATAACAACTTTTCAGACAAATAAAAGCCATGAGAATTCTTTATCAGCAGATCCGCACAAGAAAGTTATCCAGGCAACAGGAAAATGATACCAGATGGAAATTAAAATCACAATATAACACCACACACCTACTAGAATAACTAAAATTACAAACACTGGCAATACCAAGTGCCTGTGAGGAGGCTGCTATGAACTGGATGTTTGTGTCCCCTCAAAATTCATACATTGAAATCCTAACCCCCAATGTGATAGTATTAGGAGGTGGGGCCTTTGGGAGGTGATAAGGTCATGAGGATGGAACCCTCGTGAATGCTACTAGTGCCCTTATAAAAGATACCCCAGAGAGTTCTCGTGTCCTCCTTCCACCATGTGAAGACACAGTGTGAAGATGACAGTCTGTGAAGCAGGAAGCGGGTTCTCACCAGACACCAAATCTGCTGGCACTGTGATCTTGGACTTCCCAGCCTCCATAACTGTGAGAAAAAAATGTTTGTTGTTTAAGTCACCCATTTTATAGTATTTTTGTTACAGCAGCCCAAGTGGACTAAGACAGAAATTGGTACCAAGAAGTAGGTACTGCTGTAATAAACCTAAAAATGTGAAAGTGGCTTTGGAACCGCATAATGGGTAGAGGCCAGAAGAGTTCTGAGATGC